TAGAAAATGATCCATGTACTGCTGAGAAGAATGTGTATTCTGATGTTGTTGGGTGGAACATTCTGTATATGTCTATCAAACCCATTTGTTCACAGGTGTGATTCAGTTCTGTTATTTCTTTGCTCATTTTCTGTCTGGTTGATCTGTCCCTTGGTGTCAGTGGTGTATTAAGGTCTCCTGTTACAATTGTGTTACTGATAACTTGAGTTTTCATTTCTGTTAATAATTGTTTTATATAACTGGGTGCTCTGGAGTTTGGTGCGTATATATTTAAGATAGTTATCTCTTCCTCTTGGAGTTTTCCCCTTACGAGTATGTAGTGACCTTCTTTGTCCTTTATGGTCATTGTTGGTTTAAAGTTCACGTTGTCTGCAAACAGAATGGCTACTCCTGCCTTTTTTTGGATTCCTGCTGCATGAAGAATTGTTTTCCATCCTTTGACTTTCAGTCTGTGAGTATCTTTCTGGGTTAGATGGGTTTCCTGTAAACAGCATATGGTTGGATTTTGTTTCTTGATCCATTCTGCTAGTCTGTTTCTTTTGATTGGTGCATTGAGACCATTTACATTAATGGTTATTACTGTTAAATGCTGGTTAATTGTAGGAATGTTATCTCTCTGCTGTTGCATCTTTATCTTTCGGTTCTGTTTAATTATTTGCTTTGCTTAGTGGTTTTTTCCTTTGTGTATCTAAACTGTCTTTCAATATTTTTTGCAGGGTTGGTTTGGTGTTCATGAAGTTCTTCAGCTGTTCTTTGTCATGGAAGTATCGTATTGCACCATCTATTTTGAATGATAGTTTTGCAGGATATATCAGTCTTGGTTGGAAATCATTTTGCTTTAGGATCTGGAATACTTCACTCCATGCTCTTCTTGACTTTATCGTTTGTGCTGAGAAGTCTGCTGTTATTCTGATAGGTTTTCCTTTATAAGTGATTTGCCTTTTCTCTCTGACAGCTTTTAATAATCTATTCTTGTGTTGGATTTCTGGGATGGTGACTATTATATGTCTGGGTGTAGTTTTATTTTGGTTATGACTGTTTGGAGTTCTGTATGCTTCACTGATCCTGATGTCAGTTTCTGATCTCATGCTTGGGAAATTTTCAGCTATTACTTCTCTAAATATCCTCCTGACATCCTTCATGTTGTCTCCCTCTCTTTCATTAATCCCTATCATTCTTATGTTATTCTTCTTTGCATCGTCTTGCAGTTGTTGAATTGTTGTTTCCTGGTTCCTTGTTATTTTCAAAAGATCTTTCCTTTCCTGTTCACTAGCTGCAATCCTGTCTTCAAGGTCTGAAATTCTATCTTCACTTTCATTAAGGCGTTTTTTACAACTTTCAGTGGAGTTTTTTATTTCCTGTATATCTCTGTGCATCTGCATTATGTATTCTGTTTGTTTCTTATATTGCTCGTCTAGGGATTCTATCTTTTTGTTTAGTTCCTCCAATTTTTTATCTGTGTTTTCTTTAGATATATTTAGAATCTCTTTCATTTCTTTTATCATTTCTTCTTTTATCTGGGAGATTATTTCGAGTTTGAATTTCTTTAAAGCTTCCTGGAGTTGCTTGTCAATTTCAGTGGCTATTGTGTCCGATATATGAGGTGAATGGGATATATTTTCTTCTATATACATCGCTCCTAGGGTTTCTTGAGATGGGCTGGAGGTTTGAGGTTGTAATTTGGTCTTTCGTTTTGTCATTTTCCTATATTTCTGTGTTTCAAGTGTTACTTGAAAGCTTCCTCAGGATCTGTTGAAAATCCCCTTCTATGTTTGGAGCTACTGGGACTCTGGCGCCGCGCTACTCCAAGCCATTAGGCCTACAGAACCAGTGGCCCTCCTCTGCCTGCTCAGAACTCCGCAGTTCCAGACAAGCTGGGCCTCAGGGACACTGTGCGCCCACCTGCCCCTTGGAAGCTCCACAGTTCTTCAATCGCAGCCGGGTTAGGGTACTCACCACAGGCCGCAGTGCTTCAGGAACCTGTGGACCCTCCCTGGTTGCAAAGAAATCCAGAGTCCTCCAGACACGCAGAGAGGCCAGTGAGGGCACCCCAGATCTGCCCAGCTCCTCCTCTGCAGACCTGTGGCCAGGCACGGCAGCTAAACAGGCTGGGCTAGGTTGGTAGTGTGGGCCAGCCCACCTATTGGGAGCTCAGCAGGTCTCCAAATGAAGCCGGGAATGGGGAGGCTGATGTGGAAGCCTTAAACCCACCTCTCTCCTTCACTGCACCTGGAAGCCTGAGGGAACTCCAGCAGTCTGGGCGCAGAAATCCAGAGTCCTCCAGACACACAGAGAGGCCAGTGAGGGCACCCCAGATCTGCCCAGCTCCTCCTCTGCAGACCTGTGGCCAGGCGCGGCAGCTAAACAGGCTGGGCTAGGCTGGTAGTGTGGGCCAGCCCACCTATCGGGAGCTCAGCAGGTCTCCAAATGAAGTCGGGAATGAGGAGGCTGATGTGGAAGCCTTAAACCCACCTCTCTCCTTCACTGCACCTGGAAGCCTGAGGGAACTCCAGCAGTCTGGGCGCAGAAATCCAGAGTCCTCCAGACACGCAGAGAGGCCAGTGAGGGCACCCCAGATCTCTCATTTCTTTTCATATGTCAGCCTCTTTGCCCTCCGAGCCAGGTTCATGCTGTCCTCCTCCCTTCTTCAGCTTTAGCCCAGCTGGAAATATGATTAGAATATATATATATATTTCCTGCTTTTGGCAAGGATTTTACAGTTGGCCGGAAAAAGAAGCTGTAAGATTTTTTTTCTTTTTAAGAACATCCAAGTTCTTATCTACTGAGCTGCGTTATTCCCACACCAATATTCTTCTTTAAAATCCTTTTTACACAAAGTTAACTTCTGATAATGGGAAGTTAATTGCAAGGCTTTGATAACAACATTTGGATAGAATTTATTTTTATGCTACTCTTTCCCTTAGGCTGTAAATCTCAAATGATAAAGTAGAACCATAGTATTCAGTTATCTTTTGTACCCACTCCAGGCAATGTTACTTATCTTAAAACTGATTGTAGAATGCTTTCAATGTATCTGCAGTGGCTTATTTTTCTTTTAATAACTACCATTCTTTTGAAAAAGGTAACTTGCTTGCCAGGATAGTTCCTGTGATTCTGAAATGCCAGTCTCCTCCAGGATCTAATGACAGTATTTGCAACTGTCTTGTTATCCAGCAATATCCTTTGCTTTGCTTTAGCACAGCCACAGAGGAGTATTTATCAAGCACTGCACAGTTTAACTGCCTATAAAGATTAGGCCCAGGCTATTTAATTACTGGATTGGTTAAAATTGACAATTGGGATGATAGTGTTCCCTTTCCAATGACTGGTACAAGTTGCACATTTCTTTCTAGGTTGAAAAGTACCAGACAGCCGTTACATATGTCTCTTTTAAGAGAAATATGAAGCTAGTGAAGGAAAAATGGAAGTCTACTTGGTAGAGGAATTGCCTCCTATTTGGTGTTAGGTAGTTAAGAGTTTGAATTTGGGTTTCTCAAAATCCTTGCCTGAGTAGGTAGGAATTTATTCTTCCCCTGTTTGTTTTTTATCATAATATTGGAAGAGAACCAATGACGTGGTAGTTTCAGTGGGTTGTGCAATGTTTGCTCTGGACTTTCCTTGTATAGGGAAGGCACTGAGCCTTACCACTAGCCTTCTTCTCTATCATGAGAGCTCAAAAGTCCTGAGAGGTAGAAAAGAGACAGGCTGGTGGCTAAATTCCCCAGGGACTCTGCAAGCCACCTGTTCTTGGTAACAAGGATGAGCGGCGCTGTAATTTGGACATGGTTTGTCTCTCAAAGGTTCATGTGCTCGGAGCTTGGCTCCTAATGTAATGACACAGGAAAGCAGAGGGACCTTTCACAGATGGGCCCTTGTCAGAGGAGACTGGATCATGACTGCTCTTGTGAAGGTCCTAATGCTGGTCTCATGGAAATCAATGAGTTCCCATAACAGCAGATTGCTATTATGGAGTTAGTCTGCCTCTTCCGAGTTCTTGCTTCTGCTTTCATCACGGCCTCTTTTCTTGCAAGATTTTGTTAGACAGAAAATTAGACTCTAGCAGGTTTAGAGACAGATGGCTACACACACACACACACACACACACACACACACACACTTTTTCTCTTAGCTTTCTTTATTGTCAGCTGTAGATAAAATCCACACCAGCCTGTGGTTTCAAACTTCAGCCCTGGAGAACGTGACACTGAGCAGGCTAACACAGTCCAGGTCCATACGAAGTCTGATAGACCATGGGAGGGTTGGAAAAACTTTAGTGTCTTAAAACAACCAAAAGGAAAAGGTCTTGGGAGGAAATGGAGACCTACTTTCCTCTGAAGTATATCAACATAGTCCATTTTCTTTACAAAAGAACAATGACTTCACAAGAAGGAAAGAATATTCTTTAAAAGACCCACTTAATCATAGAAATGCAGCCTGAGACTCATTCAGAGCAATTGCCACCTTGGCACTTGCTTGAAAGCATATTGTCTCTCTTGCTCTAATAATCTATCGTTTTGTAATAAACTTTTTCTATATTCTATACAATGACGACTTATGTGACCTATCTGAAATCTTGTGTTAAAGACAAAGAACTGACATGTGCCATTGGTTCCCTGTGGTGTTAGAACCCTGCTTCCTGGTGACAGCTTTCATATGCTCTCTCTTTTCTTTTCATCTTTCATGTGATATCTCTTCTCTTCTCTTCCCTTCCCTTCCTTTCCTTTCCCTTTGCTTCCCCTCCCTTCTCTCTCTTCTCCTCTCCCCTTCCCTCCCTCCCTCCCACCTTCCATCCTTCCTTCCTTCCTTCCTTCCTTCCTTCTTTCCTTCCATCTTTTCTGTCTGTTTGAGACAGGGTCTTACTATGCATTTCAGACTAGCCTTGAACTCACTTTCTAGCCCAGGCTGGCTAGAGCTCTCACTAGTCCTCCTGCCTCAACCCTCAGAGTGCTGGCATTAGAGGCATGTCCCACCATGTCTAATTTTTTATTTTTTTGAAACAGGGTCTTGCTATGGAGTTTAGTTTGGCCTTTAACTTGCTGTGTGTCCCAGACTGGCCAGAACACATGGCACTCCTTAGCCTCCCAAGTATGTGATGTCACCTGTTGTGCTGTGACATAGCAGCGGACTTCAGCAGAGTTCAAGCAGGTGAGCCTTCCTTCTTTTAAATCTTCAGCCTTTAAAATTGTGAGCTGAGTAAAATTCTTTTCTTTACAAAATGACCCTGTCTCAGGTATTTTGTAAAAAGGAATATAAAATAGACTGAGACAGAGGGTCTTCAACATGTTCAACATTTTCATATATCCATACTCAAATTATCCGAATTTTCAGAAATAATTGTAACTATAACCCCTTCTCATGCTGTTCAGAAACTTTATCACTGTGTAAGAGACTGAAAATTATTTTAGGAAAAATTTCAAATTCTTTTAACTCAATAAAGATGTAGAAATTTTGAAGTTTTACATATTGCTAATAAACTAATTGAGAAATACCTAGTCGCTGATCAATAAACATGGGTAGACCCAATGAGGAGCTGAACTGCTATTTTCCCATGGTCCCTTGTCAAGGTTTTAACATTACAAAACACTCTTTTTTTTTTTTTTTTAAACTAACTGGCTGGGCCAGAAAGTGTTTCATACTCCTCAAGATGTGTATTTCCTAGTGAAGATAATTGAATATTTTGTTTTACAAAAGTGAAGACTTCAAAAAAGTTCTCAGTGTTTTCTTTCCTTTTCTTTTTGGCTTTCTATGTAATCCTCAGGTATCTTTCAAAACAATAATAAAGGAGAATAAGATTACTACGAAGAACAATTTCCCTTTAAACACTACTGCTGGCTGTGGTTTTGTAATCCAGTAAGAGGATTGTCAGCCCGCTGGCAAGGTTTATAGAGTATTTGACTAGCTTCGTTATGAATCTGATTATATAAACAGCTTTATAGGAGAAAGGTTTGCCATAAAGCACTACTGAAGTTTTTTGTGAGCTTGTATGCTTAGTATTTCTAATGTACTCACTCAGTAAATGTTTAATAAATGAACCATTCAGTAATCATATTTTTGTGATACGTGGACAGATTACTCAAACCTTGAAAATGAGTTCCATATTCTTCAGATTAAACATCAGTACTATTCTAAAATTTATTATTTTAGGTTCACAGAACTTTCTTTTTTCTTTTTTTTTGTCTCTTTGAGACAGGGTTTCAATATGCAGTTTAGGCTGGCCTTGAACTCACTTTGTAGCCCAGGCTGGTCTCGAACTCACAGTGATCCTCCGGCCTCAACCTTCTGAGTGCTGGCATTATGGGCGTGCACCACCATGCTCAGCTTCATTTGTAAGGAATATTAGAACCCAGATACTAAGTAATTACCGATACTAAGTAATTTACCTATATCTACATAGACAATTAGAAGCAAAGCTTAATTTCTATACAACAGCATTGGTGATATTGGAACTAGAAATAAAAACAGCAGCTTTGTTAAGTCTTGTTTCTCCTATAGTGATTTAACATAAGTGCAGTTTGTCAAGTGAAATGTGCCTCGAAAGATTTAAGGATATTAATTCATATTAGATCAAAACAGAACTAGGAAAGTAATTACAACAACCATTGCTTTTGCTTGTTTTCCATTTATGTGCTTTAGCAGTGTAAGCAAAATGAAGAAAAGTTTATAGATCAAGAGTATTCAGTAAGCCTTCTTCAACGCTTTCTGAAACATTTTATGATTGTGTTATAGTCCAGTGCTTGCCTTAGACTTGCCTCCTCTTTCAGTTTCATACATTTATTGTTACTTAATTAGTTTTAGAAATCAATGTCACTACCCTGGAATGCTTTCAAATCTCAGATTCCTGCTTACAGATGGATAAATGTCAAAATACTGGGTAAACATACTTACACAGCTTCCATTGTTTTCTTTCTCTCTACAAGCTTTTGGTACCCTGGGGCTCCCTCGGAAGGGATTAATACTCATTCCATTAACAGTAAAGAGTCCTAGAACTATCACACAGGGAGTCCTCCTGCTTTGGCTTCATTAGTCAGGAACACACTGTAGAAAATAGCTTCATTTCATAGCAGGCTTTCTCTAAACCATTAAGATGAATATCTCCCCAGAGTGACTCAGTATAAATATCCATATTTGCCATTTCCCTCAGTTAAGTAGAAATGCACTGTATTTGTGTTCTTCTGAGTTTATCGTGGATTTGCCTCCTCCTCAGAGTTCTTTCTCTTAATCCCCAGTGAACATTATTACTGTATATATTTAGAATAGATTTAAAAAGTCAGCAAGCTGGGCTGGGGACGTAGCTCTAAGCTAGAGTAGTTGACTAGCATGGCCCTGGGTGGCATTCTCAGCACTGCAAAACTGAGTGAGAGAGAAGAGGATAGAGTTTTTAGGACTTGTGAAACTTTCAATCGGGAATTACAGAGAAGTAAAGCAGTGCAGTCTCTTTATAAGTTCAATGTAGACCAGGATTTGTGCTCTTTTCCTGTCCATTTCTCAATGTAAAACATTGTGCCTTGGTTTTTTCCTGGGAGAACTGATTATAAAATAATGTACCACATCAATCAAAACACCCCATTAAAGTATTTTTTTAGGCTTTAGAGTGTGAGTTTTCATCTGTATTATTGTTCTCACTCTTTTTTCTTTCCTTTGTTTTTCTCCTCTCGCTTTCCATTTTCAAGCTTGACTTACAGGAATATTGAGTAGTGCAGGGAAATAAGGATTATTCCTGCCACCTATTTTTCCATTCATTCATTCAGTAAAAATATTTTAGGCATATAATATATTCATATTTTAGATTGACTGACTTTGACTTCTGTCTCTGTAGGTCTATTGCTAAAAAAGTATTCTGGAGTCATATTTGTTTTTTATTTGCCTTGTTTTGGTTGGTTTGTTGGTTGTAAACAAGATGATTCATTGTCTCCTTAGTTTTTGTTGGGGATGCCATGTAACTGCTTTGGAAGAAACTGCAGAAAACAGCATCATTTCAGAGCAACCTCTCCCCAATTCCATTTGTATTAGGATGCAATAAAAGCGAACAAACACAGCTCATTCCGAATTCTGAATGTGGGGCACATTTATCAGACAAATGTATCAGGCAGTATTACTACAGTTTGATAGAAGCATTACCCTTGGTGCAATGCAAACCCAGGGAAATAAATTAGCAATAGAAACTTAACATCTTCCTCACTATTTTGTTTTATGACTAAGTTCCTTGACATCAGCCTCTTTCCAAAATCTTCATTTATCTAGTAAGATAATTTTATTGGAAATGTATATTAAGTAAATTATAAAAATAACAACTTTAATATTGTGGAAGGTACTTAGTAATTCAATTGTTTTATAAGTTTTACTTTCATTTTTCAGTACTTTTTAATTGTTATATAATTACATATCAAACCAAAAGACTCCTTTTAAAGTCCTTTCTTAATCAGTTTTTTATTTATATATTTTAAATTAAGCTGGTTATTATGATGTTATTTTGATACCCCTAATTTGAATAAAGGGACATTTTCAAGCATAGTTTAAATATTAGGACCTAACCATAAAGCACATGAACAATTCTATTTTAGATAAAGCTTCATGCTCAACTTTAGAAGCAGTAAAATAGGCCACATTTTTTATTTCAAAAACCTTCACAATAAGAATCTAAGTACACAAACCTAAATTTGCTATGTGTACCCTGAGGTATTGTCTACATGGATTCCATGTTAATACTCTATCTTATCCACAAATCTTTTATTTAATGTGTTTAAGAAAATAATGACCCAGATACTCTAGTATTCTCAGTCCTGGTTTTCATAGATCTATCCTCTGTCATTATTTATAACACTACTGAACTCTCCAAAATCAGTGTTGTGCTTTGCACAATAAATTATCCGCTCCACATCCCAGGAATCATTTTGCTAGGTTGTGAACCAGTAAAGGACAGTGTTCCATTAAATACCGACATCTTTCATTTACATTTTGGTTTGCAAGTTACAAAGCAATTTTATACTCTTAATCATATTTCATCAAAATCCTGAAGGGAAAGCTCAGAGGGATTAAGTATTTGCCCAACTTCTAAAGGGGAAGAAGAGGTAAAGAAGCTTTTGGGTTGTTTTGTTTTTCAGTTTGGGATTTTTTGGACAGCTAACCAGGTATTTCCCCCCTACCTCTTTTTACCTTTTGGTCTAACACAAAGCCTGTCTTGTTGTGTTCACCATTTATTGAATTAAACTTAGACTGTTAGGGGTGGGGATACCAACTGCGGACAATACTTCATCTGTCCCAGAGCTAGACTTGGGGAGAGAATGCAAAGCTCCCTGTGAGCGGGAGGCAAGGCTGGAGGTTTTGGTGCTCTAATATTTCTCTTTAGTCCAACAATAAAGATCCTCTGTCTTCTTCAAGACACCAAAGAAATTTCACTTGCCTGATGTTTTAAATTTCTTGGTGGCAGTTTTCTTGGACTTGATTTAAAAAAAAAAAAAAAAAAAAAAAAAAGGACTGTTTTAAAGGAATTCTGAGGACCAGAGTGATCTCTCCAGTAGCCCTGCATCCGGTCAGGGGCCCAGCTCTGGTAGGGAGAGTGCAGTGTGTGGCTGCGTTCCAGGTAGAGGTGTCCTAAGCATCCTGAGGCCCAGCCAGGAAGCTGCAGCTCCTTCCTCCCGACCCTTTCAAACCCTCGACCCCACAGGCGATATTCTGGCAGCCAACTGCTGTCTGCGGAATGTGGAAACAAGGTCATTAGCTCTCCTCTGGTTAAGTCCTTCCTGTCTTGCACAATCAAAGAAACCTACACTCCGTGTCCTTTCTCAAGCAGAGGCATGTATTATCCAGACAAATTGCCCCAGAGATTGTTTTATTTTAAACATTTCGCTGGCTGCGTAGTTATTTAACACTCCTCTGAGCCCCAGTTCTGCATAAATCCTGGTCTTTGGACTGAAAGCAGTTTGGGCGCACGTGTGTGCCCAACCCTCACTATTTGCTAGCAGGCAGACATTAATGAGAAGTGGCTCCTCGCTTACAGAGCAGAGTTTCTTTTGTGAGATTATTTTTTTTGACAGCCCAGGCACTCTGACACTTTCCTGCTGCTTCCTGGAGGACTTTAAAAAAGATGTTTTAAGGAAAATGAAGCATAGTTGTTTCTCCATCTCCCACAAGACCCCTCACCACTG